TTCTAAAAATATAATTGGAGGCAAGCCTGAACCAGGTCTTTTTCCCTTATTACAAAGTGCTGAAATATTAGGGGTGCTGACAGATGTAAACCAAACCCCACGCCCCAAAGCCCAGCACTTTACTGGAAGAGGAAGCACTTCAGTTTGACCCAGTTCCCTAGCGTTTGTCTAGAACGGGCACTTCCATGGGGCTTTTTGGCGATTTTATCTAAAACGGATTCAAATCAGCTTTTAGATAAAAATGCCAAAAAACCCTACTGAAATGCTTGATCTATGCAGATGTTGGGTGAGCCGAGTCAAACTAACATGGTGCCTCTTCTGGGCATGCACTGCACTCAGTCCAGGGGCACAATAAGCTGAAAGCAAAGCACCATCTTCTTCTCCCTTAGTGGTCACAAAGCTAAGCTGTTGTCCAGGCTCTCTGCTTCCTCACAACTACCGCCTAATTGGTAAAAAGGCAAAAGGCCACTGTGGGAAGCAGCAGCATACCAGGAAGTGGTAGCTAATGGTCAGACATTTTCAGAGAATAGCAAATTTGCTCCTAAGTGCCAGGAAAACTATTCACATTGGAAAAGTATTTTAGCATTGTGAATCTTGATACACAAAATTACTGGAAGAGAAGACAGTGAAAATGGTGACCTCCTTTTCAGTTCAGTGTTTCAAGTACTCATCTTGAATGTTAGAAATTAAGATGCCCTCTTCTGCCCAAGGACACTTGAACCCACATGCTAGGGAAGTGCCCTACTCGATAGGTTAAAGGGCATTCTGGGAAAAGGGTTTGCAACCTCTCTTGCTGACACTGTTCCTCCCTGTATAAACAAACAGTAATTGGAAGAGCTGGTACAAAGACCCTCCCAGCTGTCAAGGGAATAAGGCAAAAACTGTCTAAGGTCTTGCTCTTTTTTGTATGATTTTTTTTCATTATTTATAGAAAGAGAAACAGTTCAAAAGGTGGGACTGAGGGAGTCCCATCCCATTGTACCTGTAACCCAATGATTAAGACACTGCCCTGAGTCAATCGTTCCTTCTCAGTCCTTCCTGCTAGACCTGTTCTACTTTGAGACAGAAACAGGAGAGGGACAGACTCTTCAGCTTGGTGATTAAGACACTGGCCTGGCAAGTAGAACACTTATTGAGTTCCATTTTTTTCTCCAGGTACTGGTACAAAGTGCAACAGTGTAAACAACAGATATTGAGAAGCCCAGCCTTATTACAGAGCATCCTACTGCCTGGCTGTTATGCTACTCCTTTAGGAGGTGGGTTCAAATCCCCTCTAAGTAGGAGGTGGGAATTTAACCCAGGTCTCCCATATCCTATGCGAGTGCTAACTGCCAAGCTATTGGAAAGAAGAAAAATATCACTATGAACACCAGCCTTTTATTTCCTTTGCTCTTATTACAAGAGTCAGGAACAAGAATTATTCTGTATTAAACAAAAACTTTTATTTTTGTTGTTTCCTTCACCCCTATTTTTGGCTACTGAACTGGAAAAAAATGTTTGTAAAACCAGTAGCAGCACCAATTACCATCACACTAAAGAGGCAAGGAGCTTATCTGGGACAAGACAAGGAAAGCCCTAAACACAGCCTGCCGGGGGAAGGTAAGAGTGAAGTAGAAACATCCTGCATCTGGCCTAAAAGAATAGTAAATGGGACACTGGGGTGCAAGCTGCTGAGCCTCAGAAAAAAGCAATCCCGAAAGAAGTGGCACTAGGCCAGCATGAGGAAGGAAAAGTGTTAGCTGGGAGATTGAAGGAATCCACAGTGCTTAGGTGGCATTAGAGAGACATCTGCACAGAGCAAGCCCCCTTGGGAAAAAAGAGAGACAAACATATGCAAAGCATACGAATAGCGTAGCCATTCCTGAAGTGTTCAGCTCATTTTTTCCACAGAGGGGAGAGGGATCAGGAAAAGACATGAAAACATTTTTGTGTTATGGGTGGGGAGGGTTGCAAGGTCACACACACAACTTCCCAAGAGCAAGCAGCTATTTGTAATATTTCCTTAAGACTGCATTAAAGAGCTGTATTCCTTGAGCCCAGCAACCTGGGTACTTCTGCCTAGAAAGCCAGAATGCAGCAGAGTTGTGTGGGAGCTTGCCTGTCATGCACCGTGAGCCCTTTCCTGGGCTGTTCATATGAACCTTTTTAGAGGCTGGTACACAGTGGTACA